AAATGCCAAAATAAAAAAATTGAAGAGAAAGTTTGTTAATGAGCTACAACTGTATACTAGGAGTAATTAGCTTTCATGGTTTTGTCTCTTTCTACAACAAAGTGAAAAATAGTAATAATAAACTGTCTTACATATATCCCATTAGACATAAATTTAAAGAGAAGCCAATCTTGAAGCCAAACCATTCCAGGACCAGATCTAGAAATGAACTCTAGGACACATAATATATTTCTGCATGCTTTAGTCTAAGTCAGTGGTTCTCAACTGGGAATGGATTTTGATGCTTCTGTCTCCCAGATTTTTGGTTGTCATAGTATAGGTTAGGGGAAGGTGCTCCTGGCATATAAGGGGTAGAGGCCAAGGATGCTGCAAACATCCTACAAAGCACAGGCCAGCCCCTCCCACCCCCCAAAGAATTATCTGGTCCAAAATGTCAATAGTGCAGAGGTTGAGAAACCCTGGTCTCAGAGAAAACTGAGTCTAAAAGGCCCTATGGAACTTCTGTCAGTAATACATATGCCATTAATTGTACATATGCCCGACACAAACAAATGAAAAAGTATTTACTTTGATAAGAAGTGTCAGAATAACAACTGTCAGTAATGATTTTAAATAGAATATTACCTATTGATCTATTAACTCTGCATTTTCACACTCTATCAAGAACAATGTATAATCTATGCTATCTCACTGATCTCATAAAAATCATACTGGGATATAACTAAATCTAATAAATATTTGTGGACAAGATGAATCAAAGGATTCATGTTTACTTCATTACTATCTCTAGTTTGGTTGAATGTGGCTTCAAAAGTTGATACTTGTGTATGGAAACCAAGTTTAAACTATTCACACATATTAACAAGCTCACTTCCCTTGATGGCATATTTTTAAGAGCCAGTGAATTTTATAAGCTACTTGTATTTTCTTTTATTTTTATGCTACTTGTATTTTCATTGCACTACTCTTATTGCTAGCATCCAAAATACAAGTTTGTATTAGTGAGTCGTTTTCAAGACATTTATTGTTCTTATGAATGTACTTTTAGATATCAATTGTGGGAAATGTGATTTGGATGAATGACGTTTATCATAATTTACTTCCCACAGAATTCCACAAATTGTCTTAACATAAAAGAATTAATGATTAATGGAAAGAGTCCATTTTATTCCATTACTACTCCCATCTTTCTTTGTTCTGAGAGCCATTCAAATACACAAAATGTAGCCAACAGTATAACTAAGGACAACAATTAACATTAGATTGCAAAATGCAGCTAGACGTCAATTTTGCTTTGTACATATTTGCTAGATGAGAAATTAAACTTTACCTCTATGTCTTCTATATATTTGTAGTGTGAAACCTCTGCCACGTCAAAGTTTTGGCAAAAGCCATATGACAGAAAAAAAAATTCTTAAAGATACGTATTTCAAATCTATTGCTAACTACATATACTCTGAAAAAGAAATAAAGACTAAAGGTTCATTGCCTTGGAAGAGTATAAAAGCAGCGATTCTCAACCTGTGGGTCGAGACCCCTTTTGGGGGTCGAACGACCCTTTCACAGGGGTTGCCTAAGACCATCGGAAAACACATATATAATTACATATTGTTTTTGTGATTAATCACTATGCTTTAATTATGTTCAATTTGCAATAATGAAAATACATCCTGCATATCAGATATTTACATTATGATTCATAACAGTAGCAAAATTACAGTTATGAAGTAGCAACGAAAATAATTTTATGGTTGGGGGTCACCACAACATGAGGAACTGTATTAAAGGGTCATGGCATTAGGAAGGTTGAGAACCACTGGTATAAAGAATTTTTATTCTTCTAGGAAAAGCACATCTTTGTGTGACTTATAGCTGGTTAATTTTATTACATTATTTTGAGAAAAGAAAATACTCAGTGTGGCTGATTATGCAAGTAGGTTTCACTCCATTTCAGTCCTTAGTGAAACACAACATGTCAGTACATTCTAAAATAGTAACTTTAATGTGTACTCTATAGATAGTTCAGTAACGTTCTCTAACATAATACCTATAGAAATAAAATTATGACTAAAATATTCTAAGGGCTTTATTATTTCTTGAGGCTACTTTAAGAAAAAACAACCAGGGACAGCATCTTTTAATTCAGAAAATCATGAATGGGCAGGATTTTCAAGGGCTTTGCCAACTCTAATAAACCACAACAGGGCTCTTATGCACAAAGTGACTGCCTGCACCTTAAACAAATGATTGAACTGGCAGGGAAGATGTGCCACCTTACATATGAAAAGTGATATACAATTTGCAAAACCATTTCACACAAACCACGTAATACAATCTATCAGGTAAGTAAAATATTAATCCATAAGGTTAAGTAAAAATAGGTATTTATTTTGCAGATGAAGAGCTTGAAGCTCAAGGCATTGTCCAAGAACATACAGCTAGCTAATAAAGAAAACAGCTAGAGATAGAAGACACTGTACTTTTTTATACCAAATCTGGTCATTTTCTTACTTACATATAGTTAATACACCAAATGTGAAAAAAGTTCAAAGGGCCAAGAAGAACCATTCCAATTACAATTTAATTTTAGGTTAGTTCTGCTGAAGGATGAAAAGAATTGCCATTTTATCAGAATCATAACTACTCTGACGATATCTTCGAAAGACCAATAATGTGTGAGATTTAAGCAGATTCACATAAATCTGCTTAAATCACGCAGCAACATGTTCAACATACATAGGGCACCCTTTTTAATTTTCATTGTGAAAGCCAAGAGAATTGCACATGTTACAGCCAGGAATAGCCAGTGTTCTTACAGAAAAAGTCTTTTTGCTTCTCAAACACAGAAATGCTCCTGGTGCCTTCACTAACAATTTGTTTAATATAGCAATCAAGGTTCTCCACAATCATCCTCAGATTAACCCGTTAGAGCAGGGTGGGGAATGTCCGGCCCACAGGCCATATGAGACCTGCAAAATCATTTCGTCTGGCCCTGCCAAGGCATTTGGTTTGAGTTAATTCAACATTCGACCAAATATAATAGGCTAATTTTAAAAAAATATATTTGTATTAATTTCAGAGAGAAACCTGAGGGAGAGAAACGTCAATGATGAGAGAGAACCATTGATTGGCTGCCTCCAGCACACCCTCCACTGGGGATCGAGCCTGCAACCTGGGCATGTGCCCTTGACAGGAATTGAACGGGGGACCCTTCAGTCTGCAGGCCGACGCGCTCTCCACTGAGCCAAACCAGCTAGGGCAAGCAGACTAATTTTTAAGTTGGTAACTTTGTATGGCTTGCGAATGATGTTATAAATACCCAAATGGCACTTGGCAGAAAAAAAGTTCCCCACCATGCTTTAGATAGTCCACATCCCAGCTCCACAGACTACTGCATTCTAACATCTTTTGTCTTTTCTCACATGATATCCGTCACCCTCTCATATTTTTCGTCCCATATCCTGTCAATTGAAGTCCAACTCATTGAGCAAGGTTGAAACGAATGCTAGCATCCTCCTAATAAATTACTTTTTTGCCAGATCCTACAAAGTTCCTTGTGACTGGACCACAGCTTTTACTTTATCCTACATTATATTAGTACTAGAGGCTCGATGCACAAAATGCATGCAAGAGTAGGCCTTTCTTCCTCGGCTGCTGGCACTGGCTTTCCTCTGGCACTCGGGACCCGGGCTTTTTTCCAGCCACCGGCAGGCACCCAGGACCCGGGCTCCCCTCGCAGCCCTGGCTTCATCTGGAGGGTTGTCAGGAAGGATGTCTGGTCTAATTAGCATATTATGCTTTTATTATTATAGACTAGTGGTTTGGGACCCCTAGACTTTTACCTCCTGAGTATACAAACTGCTTCAAACTTAACAAACTGAAATTTTTCTCCTAGCAAAGTAGAGGATTAAAAAAAAAAATCTGTCCAGCCAGGGAAAGCCCATTGAAGCCCCTGTTCCTGCCTCTACAGTGCTCTCTAGACACAGTGCAAACACTCCACCCAACCCAGACTTTCCTGCCTATGGCTTTGCCTTGCCCTTTTATCAAGGTGCTCTGCAATGGCCTGTTTCCTGACCTGGCCTGCTAGAAACAATCCTACTCTTTTTGGGCAGCCTTCCCCCCTGGCTTGAATGTCAAGTTCTTTCAGTAAGCTTGATTCATCAAACTGTTCAATATTTAAACTTTATATCAATATTTAAAGTTGAGCAGAGGGTGAAGAAATTCAAACTGGGGCAAGGTTCATTCCATTATATTTTTATACAATGCCAAATCTGAACCACAACACCTTCCAGAGAAATGGAGATAGTAACACTCGTTGATACATGCACATGCAAAAAGGTGTGTATTTCAGAATGACTTAGCATTTTCAACATTTCTTAATAAGTGTATCTTTATTGGTTTAAACCAATAAATAAGCTATATAAATAATTCATGAAAATTATATGTGAAAACACCAAATTATAACAGGACCTTAAATCCTTAAGCTATTTTTCCACATCTGAATTTAGTTAAGATATAATTAAAATAAGCAAAGCACTACCCGGCAAGTGATTCACATGCACTTATGACTATTCACTAAATAACCCATCCACAGGCATGAATGCTTCCTTTTCTAGAAGAAATATACATTCTATACTCAATGCTTCAGGCGCAAAGGAAGATTTATATTTCCAATCTGGTAAGTATTTTTTATTCCATGTAAAAGTCCTATTCTCTCTCCTCCATAAGACAAATACCACTTTCAAGGAAAAGATGGAAATGTTGAAAAGGTGGAAAAAGAAGGTCAAGGTCTGTAATTTAAACTATAAAAATGTGGATGGTGCAATCATGTGCCCATACCTCTTCAAAACATCATGAATGAATTAGCCATTTTAAAATCGTTTAAAATCATTGCATAAAAAACCAAATTCAGCTAACTTCTTTTTATCAAAAGCTAATAATATGATTATAATAAAAGCCCTGAAGTTAGAGGCTCCAATACCCAAATGATCCACTTTTACCTTTTTTCGTTCCTGCTCCCTCTGTTGGAGTCTACAGACTGAGTCAGTAGCTGCTTGCACTGAAATAAAACAGAGAATGGGTTTTCAATTAGCAGCCCTTGATCAATGAAAGAATGACCTGGGAAAACAAATATGTGGAATGTTTTAGATCTCAAAAAACTATGCAAAAAACAGCAACAACAACAACAACAAAAAACCACGATACTATTTTGGTTGTGGTGGGGTAGCAAAAAAAGAAGTTCTACCAATATATTCAGTATGTCATAATCAGAACTACCATCATTCTTGAGCTTTGAGTTGCAAGCCAAAGGCATTTAAGTACTAATTCCAATGACAAATTGTCAACAATAACCTTAGAATTCTCTAAAAAGATATAAACTTAGCATTACATTTTGATTGTGCCTTTACAGTGTCTTTCCCATTCACTAGGCCCCTCTCCCTTTGTCTCTTGCACACTACTGCTCTTTTGCAGACATTACTGGAATGCTTCAACAACTTTCTACTATTCTTCTTGCCTCTGCTCTCGTCTTCAAATTCATCCTGGCTGCCACTGCCACATTCAAACTTCTCCAGATTGTTTTCATTGAGTTGTTTTCCTTTCTAATGGACCAAAACTGTTAGTAATAATTACTATAGTTATTTATTAGAACTATGGTGCCAAGACCTGTACTTTCCATGTATTATTCCTTTTAATCCCACTTTTCTATTTAGAAGAGGATCACAGTCACACTTGACAGAGTATTGGCATTTGTAAAAAAACAGGGGTAAAGAGGTAGATGTCACTCAAGGAGGTAATATGACTAACTAGTGACCCAGCACGTAAAATCGTGCGAGACCCGGGAACCGCCCCCCCCCAGCCCCCCGAGTCCTAGCGTGGGGCAGGACCCAGAGTCAAGTCCCCACCCACCCGCGCACACCTGGCTGCACACGCAGCCCCACCCACCTGTGTGCAGCAAGGCCTCCTGGTGACTAGTCTTTGGTTGTTACAGCTTTACGACCACTGGGTTTTTATTATATAGAAGATAAATACAAAAAGTAGGATTAAAATCAGATCTCTGACTCTAAGGCTTGACTCTTATCCTCAATACTCCATTCCTCTTATAATTTCATCAATGAAGCTGGTTTTAATCCATCAGTTATTTAAACCTTTTCATTTACTGGATCCATTGTATTTACATAGATAAATGTCATCACTTACTTCACTGTTTAGTGTGCAGGCTAAGAGTCAGACTTTGTTTTTGTTTTTTTTTTCCTTTGCTTTTGACTTTATTTTTTTTTTAATGAAATCTTTATTGTTCAAATTATTACATTAGTTACTCTTTTTTCCCATCATAACTCCCCTCCACCCAGTTCCCACCCCACCCTCCGCTCTCACTCCCCAACCACTATCCTCATCCATAGGTGCACGATTATTGTCCAATCTCTTCCCTCACCCCACACCCCTTTCCCCCACCCAAGAATAGTCAGCCCATTCCTTTTCTATGTCCCTGATTCTATTACAATCACCAGTTCATACTGTTCATCAGATTATTTATTCACTTGAGTTTTAGATTCACTTGTTGATAGATGTGTATTTATTGTTCATAATTTGTATCTTTTCCTTCTTCTTCTTCCTCTTCTTAAAGGATACCTTTCAGCATTTCATATAATAATGGTTTGGTGGTGATGAACTCTTTTAGCTTTTTCTTATCTGTAAAGCTCTTTATCTGGCCTTCACTTCTGAATGATAGCTTTGCTGGATAAAGTAGTCTTGGTTGTAGGTTCCTGGTATTCATCACTTTGAATATTTCTTGCCACTCCCTTCTGGCCTGCAAAGTTTCTGTTGAGAAATCAGCTGACAGTCGTATGGGTATTCCCTTGTAGGTAACTGAGTTTCTTTCTCTTGCTGCTCTTAAGATTCTCTCTTTGTCTTTTGCTCTTGGCATTTTAATTATGATGTGTCTTGGTGTGGTCCTCTTTTGATTCCTTTTGTTTGGGGTTTTCTGTGCTTCCTGGACTTGTAAGTCTATTTCTTTCACCAGGTGGGGGAAGTTTTCTGTCATTATTTCTTCAAATAGGTTTTCAATATCTTGCTCTCTCTCTTCTTCTGGCACCCCTATAATTCGGAAGTTGGTACGCTTGAAGCTGTCCCAGAGGCTCCTTACGTTATCTTCGTATTTTTGGATTCTTTTTTCATTTTGCTTTTCTGGTTGGGTGTTTTTTGCTTCTTCGTTATTTCAAATCTTTGACTTGATTCGTGCGATCCTCTGATCTGCTGTATAATGTTCTTTATTTCAGTCAGTGTATGCTTAATTTCTAATTGGTCCTTTATCACAGCATCAAGAGTCTCATTAGATTTCTTGAGGATCTCACTACATTTATCGGCAGTCTCACCAGTCTTCTTGAAGATCTCACTACATTTATCGGCGGTCTCACCAGTCTTTTCGAGGGCCTTATTAAATTTATCGGCAGCTTCTAGACAGTTCTTTAAAGACCTTAAAAGCATGGTTTTGAGCTCTATATCCAGCAGTTTGCTTTCCTCCTATTCTGTCGTTTGTGTCCTGTTTCTTTGTCTCGGTATTTTTTATGCTTCGCTGCATAGATAGAATGCCTCTCTGTGCTAAGTGTCCCAATTACCTGAGGTAGACACTCTTGGTGCACCCCCTTGTGGGCTTTGTGCACAGTCTTGTTGTAATTAAACCTTGATTGTTGTAGTTATCACTATGAGGAATTGACCTCCAGGCCAATTGGCTGTGAGAATCAGCTGTGTCTGCAGTGGGAGAACTTCTGTGCTGGAGACACCCCTCTAGGGCTAGACTTGCTTCGATGGGGCTTTGGTGCTCACTGAGTCTGCCCCGAGTGTGTCTTTTATGGTTCCACGGAGCTGCAAACTGGATGGTCCCACTCTGACCTCTGGGCTTCCTGGCTCCTGGATCTCTAGGGAGGTGTTAATCTAGCCTTTGCCTGAGGCTATCCAGCAAAAGTCTCCCTGCAGGGCTTGGGCGGGGCGGGTCCCAGGGGATCAACAGGGTGGGGTTAGCAATTATGGCTGCTCTCAGTCTTGCCCTCAGAGGCTCTGTTTCTCAGTGTCCCAGTAATCGCTGCAAGCCCCACTGAGAGAAAGCTGCCCTAGGGTTCTGAGCAATGCCAGACAGTCCCGCTTCTCCCATATGAGTCTGGGTCCCGAGAGACTCGCCCGGAACTGGAGCTCAGAGCCTGGGACTCCCTCCCGGTTGAAAACAACAACCACGCCCTCAGCCGCCAGCCTGCTCCGCATGCACTCCACACCTTAGTATTTTACTTCAGCACTGCGCCTCCTCTGAGTCTCGGTATGCTTTTCTCTTTCCTCCTAGTTGTAGAACTTCCACTCAGCCAGCCTTCCTGTGGTTCTGGATGATGTCCGTTCCGTCTTTTAGTTGTATTTTTGAAGTGGTTGTTCGAGGCAGCAAACTCCGGTGTTTACCTATGACGCCGTCTTGGTTTCTCCTCCAGACTTTGTTAAATCTAGAGCTGAGCACTTATTAGTTGTCTCACTGATCTTTGGCATGTTTGTTTACTTATTCTTTCATTCATTTGCCAAATATTTATTGCCAGGTGCTGTTATTGCTACTGTTGCTAATTTTGTAGCATCTTAGTTCTCCATTTGTAAAACAACAAAGAGGACTTCAGAATTGATACAAGAATTAAATAAGATAGCACATATTTAAATACTAATAAAAGTCACTTAGCATAGTTCTTCACACATAGTAAGCAGAGTAATAGATCAGTACATAATATTCTATTTAAAATACTTCTGACTGCTGTTATTTACTTCTTACCCAAGTAAATATTTTCATTTGTCTCTATAAGGCATGTGTAGAAGTAATGGCATGTGTAATACTGACAGATGTAAGCAGTCAAGAAATGCTACTGTTCTATTATTAGAACTATTATTCTATTTACTATACTATCCCTACTGAAAGTGCTTTCCTTATTCCTTTCCTATAATTAAAATGTTCTACTTGTTTCAAAAGCTCAGTTCAAGGTTTACTGCCTAATTAAAATCCCCCCGGATTAATCCTTTCCCTATAAGAATTTCCCCTTATTTGGTATGTAACACCCTACCAGTTTAGCCTGCATTTGCTTAAAGAGAGGTTCACCTAGCTGTTTTACAATTATGCCTTCCTATCTCACCTCAATCCGGCCCCAACTAGGTCACAAGTTCCACAACAGGGCAGGGACTGTGATTCTCTTTCAGAAGAATTTTAGGACCCACCCTGTGAAAATATGGTTAAGAGGAGGATTCTGCTTTTAAACGTCAGGTTTTCATCAGTAACCATTCGCTTTATAGTTATATCAAAGATAGTATTTTAGTACTGAAAATTAGGTTCCCTATCATTCACTGTTTGTTCTAACAGAAAAGATGAAAACAAACCAAAATAGGTGCTGATTAGATCTGCCTTCTTTCTGTGCTATAGTAGTATTAATATTACATCATCTTTCCTGAGCAGTGGTTTTTATAATTTCCTGGTTTTTTACTTTTTTATTTTTTTGGAGGAGGGTGATGGAAGGAAGGCTTAAAAATATCCATTTCGTGGTCTTTGTTTCATTATTTTCAGGTCTTTCTTGGTTTAATCTGACAAGAGTTATAGGACTATGACATTTATTTTGTCATTTATTATATCCTTTAAAATTTAATTAGAACAGATCCGACAAAGTCATACTTTTGTTCCTTACCAGGATTGTCTTGGTGCTTAGACAAAATACATATTTCTAGAAAATTCCTTTGAAGTAATTTACTTTTTAATTCTTTAGCCACACAATAAAAAAATGGTTTACTTTCTGAGTATAATAAAATCTGCTTTTCTAAAGTCTAGGAAAGTCACCTGACTACAGCAAACATTCCCTTTCTTCACAATTAGAGACTCAAAGAGGAAAAGGTCCATTTATCCAAACCTTCCTATTACTTCCACAGGACTTACTGATCAATAGGAAGCAGTTGCCCCTGTTGTCTCAGTGTTTTAGGAAACTATACTGACTTTAAAAAGTCAAGAATTTATCAAATTATTTTCTCTCAACTGAAAGTTTATTCAAGGAAATT